AATGTCCTCAACAATATAATCCAGTCTGACCCATTCAAGGGCACACATCACGCTGTCTTCACCTTTTAGACATGCACACATTCTCATAATTTCACATTTTCTTATCAAAAGCAGGTGCCTGCTGAGAAAGCTGGACCTAAAATTGGTAGGCTGTGGGAAAAGCAAATTGCCCATGCTGTCAGCAGCTAAAATAGTCTGGATTGAATTTTATATAATGGCATCAACTGCTTAAAAATTTGTGTCTAGTCACACACAACATATGCACATTCACCACACACAACATGACTGTTTATATATATATATATTTATAGAACATTTGGAAAGCCTATCGAGTTTTGGTTTTCTCACAGTTCTTTAACGTGACTAGAACCAGGGGAGGCTGTGTCCTTTTGAAAGAAGCTGAGAAGATGCACGCCACCTCCAGATGTAATAAGTCAGAGATATAGCCTGTATTTATAGGCTTACCTATGGCACCAAAGTAAGCAGCAGGGAATGCAGTTTCAGGCTAGCTCTGCATCATTTAGTGTCATGGGTTTAATTTAGACAGTGTCTAAGGGAGGTCCATCTCAGTGGATAACACACCAGGAAAGGACTCACAGGCTTAGAGTCCACTCCTTGTTCAGCTGTGTGCTCTGCTCTGTACAATAACATTGAAAGCGATGAGCAGGAAACATATGAGTGAGTTGTTCTTGGAGTAGCTTGGGAACCACTACAACAGCTTGATGCTTTATTTTTTTCTTCATTCACATTTCTGAAGTAAAATTGCAAATCCCCCTCCAAAACGAAACAGTGATTCCAAAAAGAAGTTCCTTGATACCTCTGAAACAACTGCCATTGCAAAGCACTTTTTTTGCACCACTTCCCTCATGCTAAGTCCCTGCTTTAGACTCTATTTGGTATTAGAGGTGTGACACCCAAGACTCCTCTCCCCCATGTCCCTCAGCTGCCAGTGAAGGGAGAGAAGTTTCCCTGAGAGCTGCAGCCCTGGAGAAGCTGCCTCTTGCTCCACTAAGAAGACATGTTAAGGACAGAGGTATTGTAAACTACGAGATCAACTACCACCTACCCATCACATTATTACCTCACACTGTGATATTTTCATCAGAATATCACAAGTGGAGTTCAACAGTTCAGCTCTGCTGCTGCAGTGCATCTCTAAAGAGAGACACATTTTGACAGGAAACTTTTTTTTATTATTATTATTTATTTCCAGCATGTGTGTTCTAATTATTATTTTTATGTCATCATATCTAACTGGACTTTAACTTAGCTGCCTTTTGAGACTGATACTTTGAATTTCTTTCTTGAAGTAGATAAATCTCTCCCAGTTGGTTCTGAGGCTGAAAGCAGTAACTTCAACTTTAGATTTAGACTAATCTAAAAATGAGTGTCTGCTACAGATAAGACTTGTTTTGTGAAGGACAGTATTTCTTATCTCAGGAGGTACTTACTTTTTCTTTCTTAAATATATGTAACCTTCAATGACATTTTTATGAGTTGGTATTTGCTGAAAGACAGTCAACAGACACAGTTACATGTATTCCAAAGGGTCTCGTTAGAACTCATTCATTCTCTACACAGTTTTAATGAGGCTATAACCATGGCATCTATCTGCTATATCCATGCAATCCAGATTAGTAATAAGATTTTCTGACATCAAAAAGTCCGCTGGGGACATTTTGTTGAAAATTCTTCTGCTTAATGGGATGGGCAGCAAGATAAACTTGAGAGAGAGTGACTGGAAGCAACCAATCTTTTGAGAGAATCTATCAACATTGAATCTGGGGCAGGATATTGATTGTCCCCATCATTTCCTAACAAAACTGTTGTCCTTTGCTGACCCCATAGCCATTGTCAGTCCTGGGGAGCGTGAATTTACCATGGATATAACTTTTCTTACAAAAACTTCTGCTCACATTATCCTAAATGGGCACATGCAGATGGAGCAGGGGGACAAAAAATCCAAGCACACACAACACATTTGGATTTTATCACCTCATCAAAGAATACTAAATGCTACAAGTTTCCCGTCTAGAGCACAGGGAAGATGTAATGACAAGCTGTCCTCAAGCAATCAGGTCCAGTATGAATCATAAGCATCTTTTGTCTACAGGGATATGGCAGTTGCTATAGCTCTGATTGCGACTTTTCAGAAGGGATGTATATAGCTCTTCTACTGTTAACTCATGTGTGCGTTTTTCCAAAGAGACTAAGGTCCACACAGGAAACCTGGCTCTTCCTTGGATGAAGCCACATCATTAGTAGACAGTATCTGAGATAGCTTTTCCCAGTTCTCCAACTGAACACAGTTGTACTGGCTTGCATTTGCTACTGTAATTGTTTATATAAGGGCACTCACTGACAGAAAGGAGATGTGACTGCTGCTGTAAAAGTTGTTAACTGTCTCAGAGACACTGCTACAACTAAAACAGACTCTTTTCAAGCTAAAATTCACCCCTGAGTAAGGAGAACACTCCTCTCCTCCTGACATACAGACATGCATTAAACTAGAAAAGATTGGTGTGAAAATACCCTTCACAGCTCTCTATTCAGAAAACAGAAGAGTCATGGGGCAGTATGCTGGCCATCCTCTTGGACACGCATTCCCTGCAGAGATCTGCAGGGGCAGTGCACAAGCATGGTGCCTTCTTCTACAATATATGTGGATGCATACCCAGGAACAAGACTTAACAGCCCCCTCTTAGAAGATGGGATGCAGAGAACTGTGTGGGACTGGCATGATCGCTGCCACAGCCTGACACACCACTGCAGTGCCAGCAGCAGGCACTTTGCCCAAAACATTATTAATTTTACAGCCAATCCATTTTCAATATAATTCTTTCCTGCTGAACTGTAATTTATTTGTGATAACAAAAACTTCATTTCACTGAATGGCTTTTTAATACCTCTAGCTATAAAAAAAAAATTAATTTTGCCACATGTTCCTCCTCATTGTCAGCTCAGCAGTGGATTATCTTAACTTGCATTTAAGCTTTCAGGGCCTAGGCATGGATATGTACTAATGATTAGCCAGTTTACTTGAACGGTAGAGATTTACTGGGATAAAGCAAGAGAATTACATTTGTGTGTGCTCTCAACAATCTGCAGAATTGGAGACTTTTTTTGCCACAGCATCCATCAGTGACAAGCACTAGAGAGCTGGGAATTAAGCATACAGTAATAATAATCACAGCGTAATGGCCTCCTGGCTGGGCTGAACATCTGTTTTGCTTGCAGCTCAGCTAGTGACAACTCTTTGCTCTTAAACAGAAATTCATCTGACTAAATATAGGCATTTCTGAGGGAGCAGGGTCTCTGAGCTAGTCCTCCTGGGCTTCCTAGATTGTGGAGTGTAGGGACTGGTCACGAATCTGTGTGTCCCAGGACACTGCTGTCTCATCTGGCATTTTCCCAGGTCTCCCAGAGCTCCTCCATGGAGAGGCAACTCATGGTATGGCCTCAAGTAGGATAAGTGGGAGCTCCCCTTGCCTCCCACTCTGATCCAGATGTCACAGTGATACCTGACTGCACTCTCTGGTGTCACTGATATGTGTGCCCATGAGCCAAGTCTTCATACTAGAGACCATCCTGAGACAAGGGAGAATAGTTTTAAACTAAAAGAGGAAAGATTTAGATTAGATATTAAGAGGAAATTCTTCACTCAGAGGGTGGTGAGGCACTGGCACAGGTTGCCCAGGGAAGTTGTTGGTGCCCCATTCCTGGAGGTGTTCAAGACCACGTTAGATGAGGCCGTGGTGTGGTGTTTTTACCCAGCTGGGCAGCTGAAGTCCAACACAACCACTCTCTCACTCCCACTCCTCAAAGGGAAAGAGGGAGAAAATATGATAAAAAGGATTCAAGGGTTGAGATAAGGACAGGGAGATCACTCAGCAATTACCATCATGGGCAAAACAATTGACAGTGAAGTCAGTCGACAGTGAAGTACTCATGTGAAAGACCTCAAATTTGGGCTGGACTAGCCTCCTCAGCAGTCTCACCTCATCTGTGATGAGATGGCTTACTTGATGACTGACAGGCAATTGCAAAGAGTGTAAACATACAGCTATGTGCTCTTCCCCTTGTCACAAGCATAGCTTGGCTTATATTAATTAATTTATTTATTATTTTATTTATTTATTATATTAATGTACATATCTAAAACAGGTCAGCTAAATATTTCTTTAGAAATTCCTTCCGTCCACTCTAAAAGGAGGATAAGGACATTGGTTTAGGTATCTAAGGCTACTTAGATCATTTTTTTTTTCAAAGGTACTATGTTGTGTTTTTTTTTTTTTTTAAACTTGAACACATGAGAGAGGCCTTGGCTCATGCCTGTGGTTGGTAAGCACCCAGGCTGCAAGCTGCTTACAAGGGTGGCACAAATCCTGCTTGCCAGGATCACTGATCTTTTCTCTGTGGAAGGCTGGATGTGGGCAAAAGCTTCCACTAAAACATAACACCCAAAGAGCTGTTTTGCCTGAGGGGTTCAGGTGATTAAGCGTGATAGCAATCTGCCACAGCAAGGCTAGGCTGAGCTCTGCACAGTGTTAGCTAAATCGTTCAGCACACCAGGCCATTTCTTCTGTGAGCTCCTTCACTCAAATATCTGCCATGAATAAACACTCAAAAAGAAGAAAAGAACATTTAAAATTGATTTGTAAGTAGCAACTTAAGTTCTTTATTGCTACCCTGAAGAATAGGCTATCTCATTATTTTTTTGGGAAGGCTTTATACATTTTACCTTTTAGATTACACTGAAATGCTATTCATGCAGGGTGTGCTCAGATACATAATGAAGTAGAATAAAGGCTGTCAGACAGGTTTCTTAAATGCAAACCCATTTGAAAATGTGATTACTTTTCAATATATAATAATAATATGAACACTAGAAGAAAGCAGAGCAAGTATAATGTACAAGCACTTCAGCAGAGTATTTGTGATCCACATAATGGTGCCCTGAAAACAACTTGTATTTGAATTAGCCTGATCTCAGGTTTTACCTTGTGTTCTGAAGACCCAGCTGAAGAGTTGTAAGGAAAGCACTGTCAATAGGTCAGGTTTATGTGGTGTCACGGGACCATTTAAACACTGCAGAATAATTAGCTATCTCCACCAGGTGTGAACTGGATAATCAGGCTCTGATAATAAACAGCTGGTGATGGGCAGTATCACAAAGAGCATCAGGAGCAGAAAAGCTGCCTGGGATTCACCACCACATGTGAAGATTATATCTCAAATGCACAAGGTGCTTCTAAAGGACTGTTTAGCAAAATGGCTTCAGGGTGCCACAAAGCTGGTGGCTGTTCTGCTAAGGTGGCAGAAGAAATGAAGGGCAGCACTGTGTTACATCTGATTGGTACATACATGTTAGGGTGCCCAGCAGCTGTTCCTGTGAGATGTTATCAGTGCATTAATGGAGGTCGCAGACTGGGAGAATGTTTGGGGGGCATTAGGCTGAACAAATTGAAGCCTAGGAATTTAGGAATCACTGAACTGTAGGGGTTGGAAGGGACATCGAAAGATCATTGGGTCCAACCCCCGGACACTAAGGACATCTGAAAAGCTCTTCCATGAAAACAGAGGAAGACTGTACTGAGGGCAAACACTGGATTTCTGGCAGAGGGAGTTGTGGAGAAGAGTCTTCAGAGGAGAAGAAAGAGCACCAGGGCAACCTTCCACACTGGTATGGATTTAACAAGAAATAACACAATCTTTTGGATACATTTCCCTTCACTTTCACTTTTTACCTTCTATTGTTTTGTACCTCTTGTCAATTAAATTATGTCTTGTTCTTGGTGAAGCTGCTTGTGGGTCATATCAGTAAGTTGGCAAATGAGATCCCAGCAAGGAAACTTTAATTAAAGAGCTGTGTAAAGGGACAACAATGCAATGATAGAAACAGTGTCTGAGTACTGATCTATCAGTGTCCGGACTCCAGGGCTCCTCCTTGGAAGATGTACAAGAGGATTTCACACTGAAGTCATGTGAAGTCTATTGTTAAGTACTTACATCTTCAAAAGATGACACTCCTTTTGGTGGTCATCTCATCGCCTGAAAGATGGAAGGAAAATGGGGACGATATTGTAAATGGGATATAATAAAGGCAGTATAAGAGTAGCTACAGCTGCCATCTAATAGAGATGGCTATTGTTAGAACACTTAAAGTAATTTTGCATGCGTGTGTCCTGTCACTAAAGTGAGCAAAATGGGCTTTTTCTTAGGGAAACAAAACCCAATGTTTGCACAATAAACAGATCTGAAGGAAGATGGTGAGGAAAAACAAAAACAGATCTCAGGACTGGTGTTGCAAGAAGAGAGGTGGTAATGTAGGTGAAAGCAGCCAAGCTAGTTACCAAAACTATCAAACTAAATATGTACAGCTTGGCTGTGTCACGGTTGTGATGGAAGTGTGATGCTAGCCTGGATACAGCAGGAACATCTCTAGTCCCTTCCTCCTCCAAAGGGGGGGGGGGGGGGGGGGGGGGGGGGGAATTATTCTGAGTGTCTCAAGTCATAGAATAAAACTCAGAAAGGGAATTCAGTACAGAATATCAGGAAACACGGTATGGGACTTGACTGCAGTGGCTATCTGTAAGCCTGGTGGCTGACACTGAAAATGAGTGCAAAGTTCCCATACTCCTGCCCCAAAACCAGAAGAGCAGAAAACCATTTGAGTATCTGGTGTAGTGATGGTAAACTAAATGGAAAGGACAAATGGGCAGGTCTGAGACTTGTTTTTTGTGCGTGTAGTGTGAAAACACTTCTGCTAAAAAGCAGTTTAAAATGGAGAAAAGTTTGAAATCAAGCAGGATATAGCAATTTGTAGCTCTAACCACAGGCAGTAACCACCAACAGAGGAATGCAACATTAAGGGCATGGGAGAGACAAGCAACAGTATTCACACTGGACTTTGAAGAGGTTCCTGTGAGAACCGGGTGAAGGTGTTAGGATATCTTCTGTGAGCTAAAATCTGGTTTTAGTTCCCAACTTAGAAATTACTTCATTATGAAGATGAGCGATGCTAGAGAGATGCTCTGCAGCTTATAAACAAAACCTTAGCTTCTACTAGGGAAGACTGTGTACACTCATGTGATCCCACCCACTGCACACCTACTCCAAAAAGCCTAATTCTTCCCTTTCTTCTGGAGGAAAGGCTAAACTGTCTCCCTCACCCACTTTTTGCAGATAGTCTTGCCTGAGACATAAGTATAATTAAAACCATAATAATGAACAAAAACATCTGTTTCAGCATTGCCCTTAGCAGCAAAGCATTATGTGTAATTGCAAATTCATTCCTTTGTTATACATTCCTATACATATAAATTAATTGACTTAACAGGAAGATTATGAGAGTCAATAAAGAACAATTTTTTATTAGTTTTGATTCCATGCTTTTCTTTATCTTCTCTTTACACAGCAGATGTAAATGGCTGCAAATTAACCTTGCAAGGTTTGTCTAGTCCAACAAATAGTCTTTCATTTTGGTTCCAGGCACAGAGCCAGAGCACGATCATTTCTGAAGGCTGCTTAGCTGAGATAAGTCATGCTTCTAAGTGGCAACATTTTTAAAAGAAGTCATGTTTTATGAGACCTAAATCAGTTTTTCACTTGTGACTTATGAAAATAGGTCCAGAACATCAACAACGTAAATGTGCCAGGTCCCAAATAGCCAGTGCCATTGGTAGGAGTTAAGTCCCTTTGAAGATCCTGGTCTTGCAAGTATCGATATTCCAGGGCTTTGACCATCAGCAAGACACTGCACATCAGCTGCTCTACAGCAGCTGTTTATATTCCTGGGCAAGGTACTGCCTGGTAAGCAGAAGGCAGTTTATCCCTTAGGAAAAGAGATTCAAGTAATTTCCTGTTTACTGTTGTCTTCTTAAAGGTAAAAGCAAACACGTAGGCAGTTACTCTTCAGTTGATGAAGAAGCCCATTTGTATAGGAGCTCTCAGGCTAAGTGGTAATATCATAATTAAAAATGAGGTCTTTGCTCTTCAAAGTTTTATCCAAGGCTTAAATACATTTATCAGACTGATTCAGTGCCAGTGATCTTTAGATGTCAGCTGTGGGTAAGATTCATTTTTGTGCTATGCCAATATATATATATATTTGGGAAACTTTCTCAGCAAACTTTCCTGCATTGCCTTTCTTTTCAATATTGTCTCTCTTCTGCCTGTTTGAGGAAATGAAATCACATCTTCAAAAATCTGTAGGTAAGAAATGTGTACCATGATTCATTCATATGAGGAGATAACTTAGTACAAAAACTTCCCTAAGAAAAGGACCTAGTTGTAGGATTTACCTCAGAAGACTCGAAGAAAAACCATCTACTTCAAAGACATTTTGCAGTAGTTTGCCATTTTGATTACTGTAAATTGTTAACTGGTGGAGATTTTGGAAGGAATGCAGGTTTGGTAGGAAATGGGCTTGTATAGTGCAATACCAGGAGGCTTATCAGCAACTCTCCATCTTACTTCTAAGGATGTAAAGTTCTTGTGGTACTGGGCACGATGGTCCACTACCAGTCAGCACTTGCAGGTATTAATCTGCAGACTGAGTCCTACATAATAGCAGAGTTCAGTTGTTTGAAAAGACATTTAGTGCCATCAAAGATGAGCTGGAAAACCCTGATAACAGCTACAATGGAAAGGTTCAAGTTTCCCATATGTCCTGTGTTATATCTGCTTGCAAAAGTACAAATGTTTCAGACATCTCAAATCCTAGCAGTCTTTTTAGATCTTCAGCTAGGGACCTGGTTTCACATTCATGGAGGACAATGGCTCAAGGGCATTCATTTTCCTTCCGAAAAATGTGACATCCATGTTAAAGATGTGGAACACTGACACATTTTAATGTAAGCCATGGAGTCAATAACAGAGACAGACCATGAGAAATGAGTGCACTGCCTTTCTCCGGAGCACAACAAGAAAAACACAGGTCCCCCTTTTATACTTTTTCTCAGTGCTTTGCCTTTGGTTTTAAAACCTAAAACAGAGTCTGTATTTTTTTTTTGTCATGTTTTTTCTGTTTGTCATGCCAGTACTTGCAAAACAAAGATCAATACCACAGTAGGAGCTGGAATTGTCATCCTAACAGATAAAGGCATGTCCCTTTGAACAATGTCTTTCATGTAACTATCAGATATTCTGGCATAAAGATCAGATCAGCACTTTTTAATAATTTTTGTTCTTGACTCAAATCACAAGTACTTTGGGAGTAGCAAATAAAACAAAATTTTCAAGTCAGGGACTGGAAAAATACCCCCACTCCCATTCCTCTTCAAAACCACGAAGAAATCATGCAGGCCCAGAGCTGAATATTTTGTTTGTTTGTTTGCTTTCACCTAAAAAGGAAAAAGCCAGAGTGTCTCTGAGGTCCAGTAAGAACTTTTATACGTAGCAGATGAGAGCTGGAGGGCAGTGATACAATGGAAGTTAGAAAAAATTAGATCAGCAGCTGGTCACCTCTGGTGACTTGCAAGACAAATGCATATGCAATTGCTCTGACCTTTGACTTCTCTAAGAGATGACCAAGCAATGTAGTCCAGAAGACCTTCTAGACTAGAAGACTCAGAGACTTGCTTTTTCTGGATTACCGTAGTTAAAGCTCTGTGCTCCCAAAACAGTTCCCGTAGGAATACTGCCTCTGTGATTTACTGCTTGAGACAACACTTGCCAGGTTGGGGAAAAAAAACTTTTTCCAAATCTCTGTGTGACTCCTAGTTTTATAGAGCTGTAGTAAAGTTGAACCAGCTTCAGTTGCTTTGTGTTTTAGTTATAACTGTTTTTTATGACTGCGGAATATTTTCCCTTTTATTAGCTGCTCTGCTTGGTGACTTATTACAACACGCTTCTGCAACTGGTGACGTGGTGTTTTTCTGGAGATTAAGGACTGTGACTGAGCAGAATGGGGCCCAACTACATCCCAGGATCCAAAGCAGCATCTTTGGAGGAGTAGTTCTTTCCTGAAGTATGCAGGACTATGGCAATTTCCGTCAGAGCTGACCTTTGCACTTTTTCTTCTCAGATCTGAAATAAGTGTCCTTTTCATTGCTAAGATCTTGGCAGACAGACCACAGGGTAGCAGATGAACCGTTTCCCATAGAGTGTTAAATTGTCTGATGGCAAATCTGAAAATTCAGCTTGCATCTGCAATTCTGCATTGTGCAATACACATCTTTAATCATCTCATGAAATTCTCAAAGCAGAGTTTTGGCGTTACTTGCAAAATCCAATTAACTCAGCCTGATCCTGGGGTACCTTTACCCATATGATCAAGGGATGTCTCATCCCCAGCTGTACCCAGATCTGACACTGACTGGCATCGGGATTTTGAGTTGATGGATGAAACCTGGCTAGGAGCAAAGCAGAATGATTCCCCCATAGCTTCCTCATGTTAGCATACGCAAACTGTAATTCTAGTGAGACTAAAGTTTCCCTTTGAGAAAAGGGCATTGTTCTAAGCCAGTCCCACTGTACCTATTAATTTCTAAAAAATAGATGAAGCTGAACTCTTTTTTTTTTTTTTTTTTTCAAGTGACCCTTTCCCAGTTACAGCAGCATATGCACAGCCTTTCCTGCCAAGCTTTTAGCTTTTTTTTTTTTTTTTTTTTTCTCCTCTCTAATTGGCCTACCTAGGGGTTGAATAATCTGACAGTTTATATTTCCTGTGTTTAAATTCTGCTGCAGGTGATGGGCAACCATTTTACAGTGTGTTTTGTATCACTGCTGGAATAACTGGGCAGGTTCTGAAGGTCCTCAAGCACACTGGGGAACCAGCTCACCTTGCACTGTAGCAAAGAAATAGCAATTATCCATTGTTTAAGCTGCAGGCAGAAATGATAAATAAATACAGAAAAATGAAAACATGCAAAAGCTCCACAAAGCTCATGGAAAACTTTTTTTAAAAGAGCAGATTGGTAAAAGAGTACCACCTCCCTCCAGTGCTAAACAGAGCGAGAGAGCACATCTTAAGGGTTGTAATACTTTTGGAGAAATAAAATGCATTGTGATTGGGATAATAGAGAACATCACACAATGACTTTCTGTGAGTCTGTGATTGCTGGAAGAGAAGTCATTAAAAACATTTACCTCCATGCCTGATCTCAGCACACTCTCTCCTTGCACACAGGCTGGGGCACAGTGTGAGGGAATAGGAATGATGCATACTCCTTTAGAGGGAAGTTAGAACAGTTATTTCCCTTGGAAATTAGATGTGCCTACAAGGATCTCAGAGAATTTTGAGAGTAAGTGTTCTTTGGTACTTGCATGTATGGCAGAGCTCAGTGTTAGCATGTACCTAGGACCTGGGAAACACAAAGTCATAAGAAGAAGTTGCAATGATGTCAGCAGAATCTACAGAGCATCTACTGGGAGGTTTCTGACCTCTCTGCTCAGGTTCTGGCAACTTGGATGACATCTTTGGCAAACAAAGTTTTAATGGATGCTATGAAGAGACACAGCACTCTGATAAACTGCAAACTGTCCAATCTTTCATCCATGAACAGCTAAAACAGATCTTAACCTGGAGAAATGCAACATTTGCTCTCTGTCCCCAGCAGTGTCTTTGAGAATACAGAAAGACTGGATAAATTTTCAGGGCCATTTGCCATTGGGTGAGCACTGGATCTCCACTTTTGTCTTCACGTACAGATTAAACAGAGTGGATGCTGTTAAGCATACATGGAAAATTCATGCCCAATCCCAGAGACTGGCTGTGATACAGGTGTTGCTACAAAAGCAGCACATGATAGCAACAGATGAAGGGTCAAGATGACTTGGTGCCACAGGGTAGCACAGGGAAATGTCTCCCTTTAAGTGGTGTGAAATCAGGTTTCCCGAATTGTTTCATACTCAGTGAAGTGTACCACAGATGGTGAGTCTGCATGTCTCAGAGCAGCTATAAATTATGACCTTTTGCCTCATTAAGATCGTCTGGTAATTCTGCTGCTTTCCTAATCTATGCCAAGGGAAACTGAAGTTAGAGATGCAACAAGCTTACCTTTTCTGCAATTGCTGAGCAACAAATATTTTACTTACTGGAAGGGAAAAAAATGTAGGAAGAAATCTGTGGATTTCCCCTGTTTTTACCAGCTAGTGCTCAGGCTTCAAAACTTTTAAATATAAAAGAAATCTCAAGTACTTTGTAAGATTTCTGGCTGCTTGTTTTAAGCACACTCCTTCATGAGCCTGGAGAGAGAAAACTGAGAGGGATGAATCTCTTCTTAGGTATTTGCATTTGACAGCCACCAAATGTCTTACACAGTACCTCTGGGCAAGGATCCCAGATAACATCAACCAGCCTAACTGGGTGCCACCAAAGAAAATTAAACCTGTTAATTCACATTGTTCTCTAAAGCAGATGCTGGCAAAGAATATAGCTATGTACATTGTTATATAATTACTCTGATTTAGCATCAGTAGATCGATGGCAATGGAGCAGTGATCAGTTCTCAAAGAAGTGCTTCATACACTGAAGAAATGTAGAAGAATTTTACTGAAGAGGGAGATCTAACCCCGGGCCAACTCTTTCCAGCAGCTCAAGAGCCCAGCAGGGAGAGGTTTCCATTGGTAAGAAGTCATGGAAGTTCACCAGCACTAAAGGAGCTCTGCCGGCGAGATGGAGGATGTGGGTCTCCTATATATAGTACAGGATGTAGGCTGAGCTTGCCATTTCCTGTGATGGAAAGAACTGTTCTTTCTCAATACGCCACTGAGATCAGTTCAGCACACTAACTTAATCAGGAGGGAAATTACAGGCGATATTAGGCCTAAAATGAAATCCTGGCCCCGCTGAAGTCAGTGGGAATTTTGCCACTAATTGCAAAGGAGATTTCACTCCCTGCCTTTGCACAGAGCTGCTGGGAATGTGAGAAGCAGTAGATAAATCTGATGAAGTCTTATTGGATTTTATGTGAATTTATCCTGTTAAGAAAGGTTAAGTGAGAAGGATTTGGGGGAAGCTTGCAGAGCAGGGAGGTGAGCTCCCACAACCCACGTAAGTGGACTTGCTCTTCACCCTTCTGCTTGACTTACCTGCACAAGGATGTTCTATTTCTCTACCAAAATGTAATTCTGAATCCCCTTCTAAATAAGCAGATAGCAACAGGGACAGACAGACCACTGGACTGAATTAATCAGTTCTTCCATACCAGTGCTTCGGAAATCTCATCAAGCCTCCAGACCTATTTGGGCCAACAGCAGCCTCAACAGACACCTTTCCCTGCAAAATAAGACATTGGTCCTTACCTACAGAGAAATCTTTTTAGCACATAACAGGAGTAGTGTTCTCCTAAGCATGGTTTTCCGCCGTGGAAGGGGACCCCTGGGCTCCCTGTGTAGTCTCACTCTTGTCCTAAAACTGATGTTTAAAATGGACAAAATGATTCTTCCTCTCTGTAAGTTATAGCGGCACATAGTTTAGCTGCAAACTTTGGAATTGCCCCAAAATATGTGAAATTAACCCACCCAAGCACCTCCTTTGTGCTTGGCCTTGCACAGTGATGTGACAATGCCCTCTTCATGGTAGGACATCACTTCCAGCCTTCCCAAGGGCTCCTGCCTGCAAGCAAACCTCACCTGGCCACTCTGGTGGCCTCTGCTGGGCAGCATGGATCCCCTACCCACTCCACCAGTGTCCCAAGTGTTGCCTTCCTCAGCAGTGTTAAAAACCCACCAGGAGCATCAATTTCCTAGCAGGGAATTAAGATGGCTGTGGGATCTCTATCCAACCAAATCCATGTCTACTTAAGGTGATTCAGTTCCTTGATGATTGGTATAAGAAAGGCAGGCAGAATTCTGGACACTTATAAGTCTCATATCCACTCCCTATCAAAAAATAATAACTTCTGCCTTGAGACCTTCATTATACAACTCTGCTGAGTTAGAACACGAGTCCATTTACCTCGCTCTCATCCCTAACAGCATATGCTCAAGGAAGGCTGAAAGAGCAGGAAAACACTTAGCCAAGTCCTCTCTATCACTTTGCATCTTTAAGAGTACCTGCATTAGGGATGTTGTCTTAAAATTTAATAGCCCTTGATGGATTTATTTTTTTTTCTCACAAACTTTCCAGCCCTATTTGGAATCAATGTAAATTTTTAAAGTCTACCACATCTTGCAGCCTAAGTACATATTTGCTGACTGAAAGCCACATGTGGAATGTTTGCTTCGTATAACAAAGGGCCTGCAGGGGCTTTAGGCATGCAGCACAGCCATGCAAAGTGACTGATGCACTGCTTCGTAAAGAGATCTCACCTAGCACCAAACTGGGCAGCTCTGCACAGAATTAGTGTCACTATATCAGATCCTACAAAGAGCACAACCTTTATGATGTGGTGTCTGACCTAGGACCACCTCCACACTATGGGCACACTGGACCCAGCTCATCCCAGCCAAACAGGATCCCTATCCAAAGAAGAAAATCACCGCAAGGTTGAACAAAATATGTGCCTCCAGGAGACAAACAGGTCTGTCAAAGCCATAGCTCACCCCTGAGAGTTGTTTTTCTTATTCCATTGATGAGAAATGGAGCTAAGGGTGATCCCTGACCTACATATGTTACTAAAGCTAAGAGTATGCAGCACTCCACTGGCAGAAATTGGTCTAAATGGGGAATGAAAGGCTAAAGGGTTCCAAAGCCTTCTGTCACCCCGCATCATTCCTCCCATGGGAAAGAAATGACATAAAATAGAATAGATTTTGTTAAAATTTTAGATCTAGAGAAAATCCTTCAAAACACAACTTACGGCTCCACTGATCAAACAGCCTTAATGTGTGGCAATTTTAGTAATGCTCAGAGGGGCACAGAAAGTCCCACACTGCCAATGCTGTCTCTAAGGAGACAAGGAACAAGTCTGTTTCTGCAATCTCTATTCTTGCAACACAGTAGAAATGAAGATTGTATTTTTACTTCCCTGCAGGGAAGCTCTGATCTAAATAAATTATAGGTGTACATTAAAAGAAAGAACAGCTCCTCCCCTACTGCACCTACATAAAATTTGCTTAAATAACAAATCTGCATAGAAACAGAAGATGTTGTCATGCTTGATAGATGATCACGTAGCAGTCCAATTGTATTACCAGGAAGAAAGTAAACATTTTTGCTCTCCTTTTTAAAGCAAATTATGCCCTGTTAATTCATGCTTTGCTGCCCTAATAAGGCCAACAATGAAATTACCGGCCTTGCATCAAAAACATCAAAGCTAAATGTGTTCATTTTCTGTTGCAGCTGTTTGATACACCCAGCTCTTCAAACACTATTTCCTGAGATTTCTTGAGAGCCTCTTCATGGTGAGTCACCAAATGTATTTTTTCTTCCTTCTAGGTGACTGCTAGAAAGCAGAATTTCAGGGAAGCTGCTGAGCTCAGGAAAGGTTTCACAGCTTCCTTATATGCCTGCTGCTGCTATTCCCTCCTAGCTTCAAAGAGAAGATGCACCATGGGGACTATGGGAAGATGCAATCAGCAAAATATGCCTGTGAACTCTATGAGCTCAAGATTACCAAAAGTCCTGGAAAATGAAGGAATTGAGCAGTCACAAATTTTAACAATAACTTAAATTAACAGTTCAAATGTCCTGATTTTTTTTTTTTTTTTTTTTTTATTATTATTTTTCTGTGCATGAAGCAACCAGGAAAAATGTGTGTGGCCACAGATTAACAGATCACTTCATGAATTTCTGTTCCCTTCTCACAGCAGCAAGGTGACAGCTCAAAACCATAAGCCAGAATTAGGGATGTAAAAAATTGTATAGGAAAAACTCCTGGTAGTTAAAAAAGGGACTGATCACTTCTGTGGAAGAGCCATAGGGATGATGCCAACTGGAGTTAGAGATTATGATCAACCTGGTCTTCCCTCTTTCCAGAGGGAAAACATACACACATACACACAAAAGGTGGCTTCTGGAAAGTCGTATCTGGAAAATTGGGAAGGATTTGAAGACATTTGAACAAAACTGTACCCATTGCCAAAACACAGAGTGACCAGGACTCATTCTCTGCAATATTTGGTGGTCTTATGTAATTACAAAGATAGCAAAGACCCACAAACAATAACCACC